TGTGTCGTCTGATTGCACAGGTATCTTCTCATCAGTAGGGGGTGGTGCTTAGTCCACTCTCACACATATGATACTGAGAGACATACCAAACAACTCAACTCTGCCGTACGCTTAAACAATAGGCAATGATTTACGATCATCAGGCATTGTCTCTCTTTAAAAGCTGAGGGAGGAAATGAAGCTCTTTAAATCTGACTGCTGTTTTATGAAGGTCAGAGCTTGATCCATCAGTCAGCTCTCAACTTCACCATAAAGTAATACAGAATGTGGCTGGATTTCTTACATGAATGGACTAGGACTAAATTACCTACATATTACTGGATGCAACTATACTGCATATTCATATACACTCACCTAAAGGATTATTAGGAACACCATACTAATACTGTTTGACCCCGTTTCACTTTCAGAACTGCCTTAATTCTACGTGGCATTGATTCAACAAGGTACTGAAAGCATTCTTTAGAAATGTGGCTCATATTGATAGGATAACATCTTGCAGTTGATGGAGATTTGTGGGATGCACATCCAGGGCACGAAGCTCCCGTTCCACCACATCTCAAAGATGCTCTATTGGGTTGAGATCTGGTAACTGTGGGGGGCATTTTAGTACAGTGAACTCACTGTCATGTTCAAGAAACCAATTTGAAATGATTCGAGATTTGTGACATGGTGCATTATCCTGCTGGAAGTAGCCATCAGAGGATGGGTACATGGTGGCCATAAAGGGATGGACATGGTCAGAAACAATGCTCAGGTAGGCCGTGGCATTTAAACGATGCCCAATTGGCACTAAGGGGGCTAAAGTGTGCCAAGAAAACATCCACCACATCATTACACCACCACCACCAGCCTGCACAGTGGTAACAAGTCATGATGGATCCATGTTCTCATTCTGTTTACGCCAAATTCTGACTCCACCATCTGAATGTCTCAACAGAAATCGAGACTCATCAGACCAGGAAACATTTTTCCAGTCTTCAACTGTCCAATTTTGGTGAGTTCTTGCAAATTGGAGGAACTTTTTCCTGTTTGTACTGGAGATGAGTGGTACCCAGTGGGGTCTTCTGCTGTTGTAGCCCATCCTCAAGGTTGTGTATGTTGAGGCTTCACAAATTCTTTGCTGCATACCTCAGTTGTAACGAGTGCAGTCAAAGTTGCTCTTCAATCAGATTGAATCAGTCGGCCCATTCTGACCTCGAGCATCAACAAGGCATTTTCGCCCACATTCTTTCCATATTTACATTCTTTGTAAACCCTAGAAATGGTTGTGCGTGAAAATCCCATTAACTGAGCAGATTGTGAAATACTCAGACAGGCCCGTCTGGCACCAACAGCCATGCCACTCTCAAAATTACTTAAATCATCTTTCTTTCCCATTCCGACATTCAGTTTGGAGTTCAGGAGATTGTCTTGACCAGGACCACACCCCTAAATGCATTGAAGCAACTGCCATGTGATTGGTTGATTAGATAATGAGAAATTGAACAGGTGTTCCTAATAATCCTTTAGGTGAGTGTATATAAATATTACATTTCTGTTTGAAATAACAATTTTAACGTGCAAAGTCAGCAATTAAACTGAAAAATAAACAATACATCTCCTTGAAAGAGACAATTCATCCAAAAATGAAAATTCTGTCAAAATCATTCTCTACCAAACCCGCATGACTTTTGTCAGAAAATAGCTACATTTTTAAAACCGTTTCCCATGCGATTACAATCAACATTGACTGAAACTTTTAAAGCTAAAAGTATTCATATCAAATACGCTATGTATTGCTTTATGATTGCTATTGTTTTCTGAAGACATACCATACAATAACTTTCTTTTCAGTCAGAAGCAAATAATCGAATGTCTCTAGTGTCTAAACTCAAATAGATAGGCCTACGATAGAATATAAGGAAATATATGAAATGTTAGATGACGATTCTTCATATTTTTCATTTTCTTTCTGTTGAGATTTTGAGCAAACCTGTCTGTCACGACAGATCATTCAAAATGGTAATTCAAAACCAGAATACAATGGGTTTAGATATTACTCATTGTAGTAAGATACTAAGTAAATTTCAGATATTCTAATCCTGAAACATATCATGAAGTGAGTACAGGAGTGCATACTGTTAAATCATACTGAAATGATAGTTTTGAAAGGAACCTGGTGTAGCCTATGTAGTGGAAAGTAAGCAGTTAATAATGTGCCGTATCTCTATGCTGTAAAATTCTGTAAAGAAACTTTATATGACAAACTTTTCAATCACGCCTCATCAGTCCTCCTGTGCCATCTTTAATACAGCACAGATAATGGCGTTGGTAATTGGTCACAGCGCGCTAGATTGGGAGGAAACATGCCGCGCTATTGTGCCCGTCCCTTTTGTTGTGGTTAAAAAGAGGGGAAAAATAAGATGCAATTTAGACACTTTTAAGAGGTGATCATTTCTCGCGTTTTTTTCCCTCTTCTCCGCCAAAATCATAGTTAAATTGCTGTCTCAGGAAGACTGTAATTAAACTCAAAGTGGCTCTCCTCTGAGGCACACGCTAGGCTAAAATTAACAGGGCCCTATTAGCGTTGGGAAGCACAGCGTCATCGTTGGTGAGCGCCTTTGGCAAAAAATCGTCCCGGCGATGTGACTTGCTGTGAGAATCTGAACAAAAACACGAAGAGCTCCAGCTGCTAATGGTTAGCCGTTTTAATGCTAGCTGTGTCAAGGATTTGATTGCTCTCACCGCTGTTAAGTAAAAGTCGCGCCAAAGACATTCAGCGTTAGCCTACTTAAACTTTTCGAGGTTTAAATTAACCGTGCTACTGTACATCTATATAAACTACACCTCTCAAAAATAGTTCGCAACATTATAAAGCACAAATAAACTTTTCTGTAGATCTAAGGTTCGTGGTAAACATCTAAAGTCAGTGTTTCCCAACCCCTTTCCTGGAGGCACACCAACAGTAAACATTTTAGATGTCTCTCTTATCTGACCCATCAATTTCAGGCCTAGGTTGGTCTAAAATGCTGTTTTCAAAAATATACAGTCATTTTGACCCCATTTGGGGCATTATAGAACCAGAGTAAAAGTGTTTTAGGAATGAAGACGATCTTCGTGGCAGCACTCTGACTCTCATGGCCTCAGGCGGGAAACGGAGGGGAGATCTGCGCATGCTCTTGACACAAACCATAAACAGACAGATGTTTGCTGCATTAGAGGCTGTCAGCATGTCATTTCACCTGTCCGCTAAGTACAATGTCACATCTACATACATCTACTCCTGTGGGACGTGTGTCTATAGAACCCGTGCCATATGTAACGGCAAACTCCACAGCCGGGCTTTATTCTCACTGTGCGGGTTAAAATCGACCCATGTGGGTTTTATGACAGCTTAAATGAAAAAGTGATCATGACAAAATCAAACATATATATGAAAAATGCCACTGAACGCATATATATGTATATGTATATATATATATATATATAAAATTAAAAAAGCAAAAAAAAAAAACAAACAAACAAAAAAAGAAAACAAAATTATTTTTATTTTATATATTTCCCCAAAATAACTTATAATGTTAAATTGTGTTTGTTTGTTTTTTTTTTTTTTTTTTTTGTTGTTGTTTTTTGCTTTCAGCCTTTAAGGAGCCTACCAGAAAGTGATGTGGATTTTCATTTTGCACCATTATTCTGTGTCACTGTCTCCACCAAGAGGTAATTCTGCTAACAACAGGAGACAGCATAAGACAAAATGTGCTTCCAGTTGATAGCAGCCAGCCTATATGAGAAAACGTATTTAGATTAATAACTATAATTAAAAAAATAAATAATAGTGATTGCATTGCATTCAGGCAAAAGACTATCAGCTTGTCATAGTTTACTTTAATCTTAGTTCATTCATCATAATTACAGGTAAAAATTAAGTTGCTAAAATTAAGTAGTTAAAATGTACTTATTAAAAGCCCAAGTATCAAATTAAAAAACTAAAATTCATTTCTACTTAATTATATAAAAGCAAATGTAGGCTTTAATTATACCTTTTGAGTGATGAAATCCAAAAAATACGAGGTTTGATGCACAGGAACCATATATATTGTAATTACATTTGTTTCTTATAGACTGAACATTAACCATATTCACACTACAAATAAGTAGTCCATTTCAGTTATTTCAGTTTCAGATATTATTGCCAATTAGCCTATTAAAAAAGTACAAGGCTTCAGGTCAAATACAGTGTTGGTGACTGATGATACATTTGACAATAACAGAAGTCAATTAGTAACTACTTTACTCTGAAACATTTAATAAATATAAATGGAGATAGGAGCAGGCTTCACTCAATGATTGCACTTAAATTTTTAAGAGTGCTGGCCTGATGATTAGAATATATAAGCAGGAAAGACGCCGCACTACGGACTATTAGTTTATGCATAGTGCGGCCACTTTCCCGCTTTTAAATATAAATGTACAATTTGTGGCAGTGTATATAACTTACAGTAATAGACATGGTTTTTGTTTTCAGCAAGATCAACAAAAAAAAAAAAAAAGAAATATTTGCCTGAGGTATGTATAATTTGTTGTTGGAAGATCTAAATTCAATTGCAAGGAATTAAAATAAAGACTTGAAAAGATTGAAATTCAATATAGCACAATTTCTGAAGTACTTCAAATCCCTGTATAGATGCTATACTGCAATTAACTCAAAATAAGTCTCTGGTACACATCTGAAATAGTTTTAATACATAATCATAACAGGCTTTAGGCAGGATATAACTCCTGTAATAGCAAGGCCTATACAGTAGGAATCCTGTGATTTTAAAGACTGGAAACAACTCCACCTGCTGGCTAATACTGAAACATTTCCATGGTCATTATTGATTTATGTAGCTACCGTTTCCCTACTAAATAATGTTAAGTGGTCCGGATAGGCATCCCAAACACAAGTCATTAAATGACTAAAGAGCTCCAGGAGTACTGATAAGACAAAACAGTTACGGGTAACAGAAAAGACAGCAGTCAGTAAAAGATAGCTTTATTTAGTCTGGGGCACATCTGTGTTACATCAGTTTGTTAATGTTATAAAATACAAACCATCATTTCAAAATAAAAGCAACGTTGCTTTGAAATTTACTTCGTTTAATGCACGCTTGTCACCTTTAATAAATACTCTCCATTTCTACAAGGACAATAACTGCTAACAAGAATGTGAATTTTAAGAGTCAGAGGAAATGCAGTCACGACAAACGCATGGAAAAAAAAGCAAAAACTGGAAGTTAAGACAGCTGGATTAATGCTCCTCATTAGACTAGTCATTATGTTTAACGTCAAACTGCAGAGTAATATTGCACCGTCTGAGATCTTAACCACTACCTAATACTGCAGGAATCATAGACCGGTCCAAATGGATTGCTCTGTTTTGTTTAAAGTGCACCTGAATGGGGTTCGTGTTGCTTGTCATGGACTCTTACGGACAGCGACATGTTGTATTTGTACCAGATTGCTCATAAGAGTAATTGTACCCGTCTAAAGTGAGACAACTCACTTCACATGTCTGATTGGTCTCAAGCGCCATCTAAACTGGAACGGAAAGATAATACTGTAAATGGGTATTTATTATTTAGATTTTGGCCCACAGGTACACATATCCTCCTCAGGGTTCAGGTCCAAGGGCCGAAGGAACAAAGGTTACGTGTTACAAAAGCACGTACGCGCATTGACATTATAAAGAGGACAACTATGTTTGAAGCTTAAAGATATTACTATCTACAATTCTCTTATATAATTCACAAAATGTTTTTGTTCACTCTTCAGCAAACAATTTGTTTTTTAAGGAACACTTTAGGAGTCAGTACACATTCAGTTCAGACATGTACACAAACAGTCACAGGACATGCGTGGAACGCTCACCCCTCAGTCAGAAAGAGAGAACAGGAAGAGAACAAGGCATGGATAAAGGGAGAGAAAATTAAACGCATAAAGGAAGTAGAGAAGGGTACAAAGACTTGTGGAAACACGAAACAGGACAACAGGAAGTCTGCTTGTGTGGAAAAGTTATGCGTTTTCTTGTTCAAATCTTCCACACACAATCAGACTGTTGCTCATTTGGTCTTCTAAAATAAAATATTTGACATCAACCAACAGTCAGGTTTTTCGTTTAAAAACCACCGCCCAAATCGATCGGGCACCAGATTGGTCACATTCAGAACATGTGCCACTGAAACGTCTCAAACACATTTACATTAGCACCCTTGCACACATACATTCACATACGCACGCGACATCCAGACACTTCTATGTCTACCATAAGAAAAATAATATATATAGTCTCACAATCTCACATATCTAATTTCTGTTATCCTGTTAATATACGGAAATACAATTTTAAAACCTAGTCTTATTGTAAGTGTCCTGCCAGCGTTTTCCTTGTCTATCACACAACACTGTAAAATGTTACACAATGAAAGTTGTAAAGCAGTTTATACTTAAGAATTTTAAAAATCTATTTTAGTACTCTCAGTGCTTAAAGCAGTTTATAATTTTTTTTTTTTTATGTTTTTAATCAAACATCCTGAAGTAATCCTCCATGTTTAGTAGCATTTTTTTATCTTCGTTATGACAAAAAAGAAAAACCCTGCCAGTGGACTGTTTGTCTTTGTCCTTCTTCATTCATTCAAGCTAAGGAATGTACGCTGTGAATAAAGTCACTTTTGACACAAAATGTGCAGTTATTCACTAACATTGTTCCAATCCCAGGTGCTGAGCTCTGTACGGATTACGGGGAAATGTGGTGTAATCGGTACAGGTCGTCCCATTGAGCAACCGGCTCAGTTAACACTGTTAGGGAGCGATGAGCAGTATTTTAACAAAGCCTTCTTGAGTTCATTCTGCATTGTTAATAAGTTGAAAACAATCCGTGTCACTGGGGAAGATGGAAGGTGAGGATATGGTTCCCTCCAATGGAGAGGCACCAGATACACCCCATCCATGCTGGGATGGATTGGGCTTATTCTTAGGGGTAGAAACAGTACAGTCCTGCTGGTGGACGTCACCTGTCAATCAGATTGAGTGACAACACAGAAGGAGATAAAGTCCTGGAGGTGATGCAGACCGACCCTCGGTAGACCCTCCAAAAATGACTTTTGAGATGTGTTTGTGCTAACCTGAGTAAACAAACCTCACACTTTGGTGGTTAAGTCATGAACTAGGGGAACCACAAAGTTTTAGGTTTATACATTTTTCTAAAATGCTCGAAAGCATGTTTATCTATTTTTAGCCTGTGAATGAATTCAACCCTTAAGTCCTCTTAAATATTGCAGGAACGATATTCATTCCATCCAAATCTATGTTTGTGAAATTTTATATCGCTGAGGAATTCGCTTTAATTCCTTTCACGTCCTTCATTCAGTAGGTCTTGATAAGAACATTCCTCATTTTGTCCTCAAATAACTTCTGGTCCATGCTGTGCTAAAAACAAGCACCCATTGCAATAGAGGACAAATGTCTCTACTTGTATCTTCCCAACTATATATCGGTCTGTCAAACATTCAACCATTCATTCACCTACGAATAAATGCTCTTCCAATCCCTCTGCGTATCTTTGAGGCTCAGATGCGACCGTTGCCATGGCTACTGCCGCGTCTGCCGTGAGGGGTGTACTGACCATCAGATGTCAAGATCAGACCGGATGCCTCACAGGCCAACGCCAGCTGCCTCAACGTATCCAAAGCATCCATCTTAGCACTGCGCAGGAGGTCACACTGACCCTAAAAAAGAGAGAGACAATAGTTAGTTCTGGAGCATGAATCTGATTTGTTGTTACAGACAATTTATGCAGGAAACAAGTGACTGTTTTTTATGATTGAGTTAGTGAATCATTCGCTACACTGATTTGTTCAACAACACTGATTCATTCAGGAATGAAAAAATGTTTGGCACAGAGGTGCACGACTTTTTTTGATTGGCAAAGCAAAAATAGTCACTGATTGACAATATTTTGTCTAAAATGTGAGTTACTTAATTTAAACTTCTTGTTTAATGAACTGTGGTATAAAGAAAAACACTTGCAAACGAAAACAATTATCCACATAACTTTAAACATGTTAACAATATTAATAACTAGGCTCTTTTTTTCACAAGGAGACAAGAAGAGCAGCATCAAGTATGAAGTAAAAAAAATTGAACGTTGGCACGAAATGGAAATTAATCCTATCTATTTCTAATATGCATGTTAGAGATCTTCTTGTTAATTATTTATCCATGAAAAGGTTTCATTTTATTTTAGACCGCATAAGTTTTAATCAATCGATTTGAAGAGAACCAATCCCGCCTCAGATTTTTAACTTTACGAAAATCTGCTAGACTCGCATGTACGTAACAATATGTAAGAAAACATACTCGGTTCTTAATGTGACCTCGGTTCTCTCTAGAAGAGGGGGAAAACCTATTTTCTGTGAGATATTGAATCCAAAGAATATCCTTAATTTTGAATGAATGTATGTAAAACGAGTTGCGGCAGCATGCAGACATAGGTACGGGCAGCTGAGCTCACGTGCCTATTGGCTGTCCTGCAGCAACTGCAGTAGCCTATCGAGAGAGGTCCTTGGTGACGTCAGATCCAATGGGGGCGCTTCGCACCCACTTCGTCACCTCCTGCCAAAGCGGACATGGCCTGTGTACGTCCAGAGTTGTAACAGAGTAAAGTTCTCTTACGAGAGGTTCTGTCATGCTAGGGGAACACAGTACTTACTGGTATCCAACACCAGAGTCCCAAAGGCAGGCGCCCGGGACTTGTACAAGTGTCGAGGTGTCCATGAGCAAGACACCAAACCCCATCTGCTCCTGACGAGCTGGATGGTGCCTTGCCTGGCTGACACCGCCATCGTTGTATGAATAAGTAAGTGAATGGGTGAATGTGAGGCAAATGTAAAGAGCTTTGGTGGCCATCGGATCTGTGAAAGCGCTATATACCTATAGGTTATAAAACCTTATAAATGTAGACAGGGAGGCCCAGCCTGCAGCCATAAAAATATCCCGCTAGACCAAGCCCAAGACGAGGCCACGCCTCTTGTGGAATGCACTCTAACAACTAAAGGACACTTCAGGCCTTTAGACGGTCCTTCTCCCAGATCAGTAGGACCGTCTGCGGGTGCAGACACCATTCTCCAGCTGGAACATTTTTTCTGGACAGCCTGTCTGGTCCCAAATTCAGGTGACCAGGCATATGTGCTGCTCTCAATGAGTGCAGCTGCTGAGCCCAGACCAGGAGGCGTTCCGTCAGCCTGTAAAGGTTTCGGGACCTGACGCCACCCTGGCGATTTTTGTAGGCCACCACTGACATTATTTAGACTGTCTGAGCGGATCAAGACGTGGTGACCTTTTATTTAGGGACAAAAACGCCTCAGCGTGTTGTCGACTGCCATCAATTCTAGACAGTTTATGTGTAGGAGCTTCTCCCGTTCTGACTACTGGCCGAAGAACGGTCTGCCCTCGTGCAGCGCTCCCCATCCCGAGGTGGAGGCATCCATGGACACCACTCTCACAAGGACTGAGGACTTACTTGGCAACAGCTTGCAATGATGGCAGCCGTGGATACAGTGATGCGTAAGCTGCGCTAAAGAGATAAAAATTCAGATTATATCAGCCCATCAAGCCATATTTATAGGCCCAGGCCACACCCGCTTTGGCGGAAGGTGACGTAGTGTGCGTGAAGCACCCCCATTGGATCTGACGTCACCAAGGGCCTCTCTTGATAGGCTGCTGCAGTTGCCGCAGGACAGCCAATAGCCACGCGAGCCGCCTTGCCTATGTCTGCATTCTGCCGCAACGCGTTTTACATGAATTCAAAATTAAGGATAATTTTTGGCTTCAATATCTTGTGGAGAAGAGGTTTTCCCCAGCGCAAGATATTACGCAGTACGAGAGAACCTCTAGTAAAAGAACTATGATATTTAGAACAAGCCTAACCCTAACTCTAACCCATCCTAACCCTAACCATTATGTGACAACAGTATGTCCCCTATAAAGGACATGGAAAATGTATTGACTTAAGCTCTAAAAAGACAGCAATAAGTAATAATAGCTAAATACTTTGAAGATACTTGTTTTTAATAAAAGTATGTTCACAATCACATACATATACAAAATAACCATTATGGTACTGTTTATAGTCCCAAGTGAGAGTTGCATAATCTTTTAAGCCATAAAAATGAAATAGAATTGGAACATGATGAATATACATTTAACTAAAAGTCCCCCAAATCCCGAGAGAGGATTTTTGCCTTCTCATATTGAAAGTCCGCCACACACACTGTATTTTATAAGGTCAAACAACTTACATTTGGGAGACAGAATTTCAAAACAACAAAAGCCCTTCTCCCTTTCATCTAAAAGCAAAGCGAAAATATCATCCAAAAATTCAAGGCTATTTGAGGGAGAGAAGGAAAAGCTCATGGTATTTACCTTCAGTACCGTGATGTTCCAAGTGAAACTTTCCACAGCTTTACTCTGTTTACGGCCTTTCAGATTTTCCTTTTCTCCTAACCTGGGCAGGTCTTCATGAAGCACCATTCCTGAGAGGACATAGAAAACAAACACATTTGTATCATTTTATCTTTTTTGTTCTGGTTTAAGATGATCAAAATGCCATTTATGGTGTGAACATGCTTCTGCAGAAACCAAGCTGCCAAATAATGGATGCTATGTAGTGTGTGTGTTCATTTATCCTCTGGTTTGGCAATAGTGTTTCCCTGGATGAATTTTGGCATCACTTCTGTCAATTGCCCTTTCACTTCTAATCTGCTGTGTTGTCTGTACTCACTCTCTCTCATTTCATCCATATACCCCCATAAGGACATGAAAAACACAGTATTTTGACGTAAGTGTCTCAGATGTGTGTAATTGGGTGTAAATAATATGTGTGTGAGAGATAATGAGGCCAGGAACAGAGAGAGGATATTCTTGTCCTTGCAGAAACCATTTCAACTAAAGTCCCAATAACTGTACAACTACAGGTAGAAACAATAATAATTAAGTGTTCATATAATTTAATCTAATCGGCTAATCTGAAAATGAATGTGAAAATGTAGTTACTGTAGCTACAGTCCAAGCTATAGTAATAAAAAAAAACAGTAACTAAACACATGCTAATTTAGATGAGCCAATCTTTATATGTTCTAATAAAAAGTTTTTTATTATTATATTTTAATATAATTATAATTTACTTAGGGTTGTTTTTTTTAGCCCAAAAACATGAAGAGTTTTTAAATTATTGAATGTCAATTAGCATAACAGATTGGATTACACTTGAATAGTACTTAATTTAGATGTAAACTGAATTAAACATTTTAAAAAGTATAATGCATCCCAGTTTATAAAACACTTGAGGCCACCACTAAGAAAATTTAGTTAATACCATCACTAATTAGTAACTCATCAACACTGGGCACTGTGTGGATTTTGTGAAATGTATTCATTTCAAAAACACTTTATGAATGGTATTTTGAGGATAAAAAACAACGGCAGGGGACTGTGAGTGTTGTAGTTAACAGGGTCTACTTTAAAATGCAAATTTGAGAAATCTGTGAATTGTTTCTCAAGATTTCCACGCATCTTCTGGTGCCTAACTGACATTCTGTGGAAAGAAAAGACAAAAATGATTCATCTTCCTCTCATCTTCTGCCCCACACCCCTACTCACCTTCCTTTTGCACTTGTGCAATTCTCTCCTGCACTCCATCTGCATTTTCAATCAGCTGTTTGTTAGAAGAGACCATCTGAGGGGATGCAGAGAGGAACTAAGTTATGATATGGTCATTTGAGTAAGATTTTTTTTTTAAAAGTAATAAATAAATAAAAACTGTAAATACTTTAATTCTGCAAGGATGCACTAAATCGACAGTGACAGTGAAGACATTTACATTGTAACAAATGATTTCCATTCCAATAAATGCTGTTCTTTTGGACTTTCAATTTATCAAAAAATTAAGCGGCCCAACTGTTTTCAACATTGATAATACTCAGAATTCTTCTTAAAGCATATTAGAGGCAAAATTTGCTGGAAAACGTTTTTGCTTTGCAATCACAGGGATAAATTACATTTTAAAATATATTCAAATAGAAAACAGTTGTAGTAATATTTCATAATTTTAATGTTTTTATTGTTTTTCCGATCAATCATTTCCTTGATCCGCATAAGAGACTTCTTCAAAAACATTTAACCAAAATGTATCGACCCCAAATTACTAAACAATAAAACATAAGAGTTTATGAATATGGGTAAAAGTATGTGGACCGAAAGGGAAATTTTTCTCCAAAAATTATTCCCAGACCTATCTGTGTTTTAAATTGTACCTTAATTTTATAGCTCTGTACTCTTATTGTATGCTAACCATTGTATAATCTTTTAGACAAAGCTGATGCTCAATCATAACGCACATCTGAGAACTCCATGAACTATGAAAAAGTAATCTTTAAGCTATAAAACTCTTCTGAGAAGACCCTTGCTGCCCTCTCCCACAGTTAAGATATTTATAAAATGTAGCCCTGCCAGTCAGCGCTGCCTGACTCTCCCAATCTCAAAAACACAACAGGACCCAGAATCAACCCACAGGGAGAGAAGAGAAACAGTAAACCTACGAAAGGAGAGGAGGAGGATGGTGACGAAATCCTCAAATGTCTTACTCATTCCAATGCCTGTTCTTACACCAACACATTTATATGTGGGATGGCTAAAAAGACCATAATGCCATTGTAATGGCAGGTAATGCAGAGAGGAGGATAGCTGCTATATTAAGATATTAATATTAGACACCGATATGATACTGTTCATATTTAGAGCAGTAAAATACCATGTTGTTTTGTCAGCAAAAAAAGAGAGGTCTCTCCATCCTAAGTTTTATCAGCACATTAGTAATAACCGAGGAATTTAGCATGAGCATAAAGTTGGCATATTATAGTCTATTAAATGGAACCACCATTACAGCCCATTGCATGGCAAAAAAAAACGCATGGCAATGACGCGTGACATTAAAACGGGCAACATAAATGTGTCTCTCTTACCGCGTCATAACCATTTAACAGTTTACGAGTGGCATCAGTCAAGTTGCCCACAGGTTCCAGGCATGGGTAACCTTCCTTCAGAGTGAGTGTGGCCCCTGGGGGCCCGTCTGGAGTCTGCAACCTCGTGGCCAAGCTCTGGATGCACTGCTTTGGTGTGGCCATCGGAGGGAGCCCACACTGCTCTTTAAAAGCCACTGTAACGCTCTAAAGAAAGAGAAAACACACTTGGTTACCACAGATATTTCAGTAAGCCCAAGTGACAGAGATAAAAACAAATAATATGACAAAAAAAATTGGCATGTTAATAAAGAGGAAATAAATCTGAAACTTGTTTTGGGGTTGGAAAGATTTTTGATAAGTTTTTGAAAGTCTCTTATGGTAACCAAGGGTATATTTATTTGATTAAAAAAAGTTTTGATCAATAATATAATGTCCTTGCTGAATATTAGTATGAATTACACTCAGAAAAAAGGTACAAAAGCTGTCACTGGGGCTGTACCTTTTCAAAAGGTACACTTTCTTACTTTAGTGGTACATATTAGTACCTAAAATGTACTTGTTAGCACCTAAAATGTACATAATAGCACCTAAAATGTACATATTAGGACCTACAGTAAAATGGACATATTAGCTCCGGGAATGTACATATTAACATTTAAAAATGTACATATTAGCACCTAAAATGTACATATTAGCAGGCTAAAATGTAGCACGTAAAATGTACAAAAGTTTACCTTTTGAAAAGGTACAGCCCCAGTGACAGCCTCTGTAGCTTTTTTTGTACTTAAAAAAAATCTTACGGACTCCAAACTTTTTAATGGCAGCATACACTCAAATGAGAGAAACAAGAGAGGTAAGAGTCATTGAAAACTGATGACATTTATACTATTTAAAAATGCTATAGAAACTGAATGTTATGCAGATACTTTCATGAGCCGAAATCAAAATAATGAACTGCTTTCCTTTATACAGACAGATAAACATGTGCAATGTAACTGTTTTCTGTGTCTGCATGACTGTCAAAGGCCTCAGCTTTGAGTTTAATTGCATTTCAGCTTTTGATCATACATTACCCTTCATTACGCTGTGGTGGATAGAGAGCCTGTTTCTATTTTCCACCTGACAGGATCACACACCCACAACTGTGATTACCAAAGCTATTTGGAGATGTACTGTATGTGTGTTCAGGGGAATTAATGCGGGTGATCAGTATGTACATCAGTTTGTATTTGTATGAGTCCATAGGGTGTGAATAAAATGTACATTGTTGTGGCTCAGCAATATTAGCAGATGGAAAAAGTACAGGCATGGAAGGACAAAGAGGGGCCAGTGTGTATTGGCCCAATAAAGAATTTGGAGACAAAAAAAAAAATTAATGTCATTGCATTAGATTAGAAATATCAAAGAAAGTGATATTTAACTTAATGAAAGGTATGAAAGTACATATTTTTTGGGCTAAATATTACAAAATGTAACAAAAAAGTCAGATTTGTTTTAAATGGCAAGGCAAGAGATACTGTACATGGTGTGTGAGGTAACAGATTCATAAAATCTAAGAAAAAATGGCCTTGGGACCAGATGGTTAACAGTAATCTCAAAGATAACAAAAGCAATGGTTCAAATAGTTTTGGGGGTCACTGTCTGGTTGTGTGTGTGCATCTCTGGGATCAGTAGGTTTTTGTGAACACAGTAATTATGAACATGGAGTAACTCCTCTCCCTAAACACACAACACACTGTGGTGGCATCTGATCCCAGTCCTGTCACCTGACCCCTCCCACTGATACTCTACCCTTAATCCTTCCTCCCCTTACCATCACCCACAAATCATACCTTGACTTTGCAGAGCCTAGGCCAGCAAAACTGTTGTTTTTTTTGCTTGGTTTTATTTCTAGGGCTTGCTTGAAAACTCAGATTAACGCATCAAGTTGCTATAAATGTGTGAGTGAGCGTGTTGATTACACAGTTAAGACACCCCCAGAAATAAACCGAGTAGGTAAACCGAGCTTCGCTTTCACAATGGATGGCCAAACTCCAGTGTGGAGGTGTGGTGGTGTCTGGTTTTTACATGTTCAGAGATCTAAATTCATGTCAGCTGTACTGGCTTATTATTAAATAAAAGCATCAGAATGTCAGTCACTCTAGGTTTGCCACAAGTACAGAGGTCAAAATCTTCAGGTGGGAGAATTTATAATGTCGAACCTATTACTTTTGAGCTAAGTAAAATTTGTTTAATAAAAAGAAAACAATTACAATAATCCAACTAATGTCTCACTATAGTATATCAGTGTCTGACATGGCCATGTTATTAGTGAACGAGTCGGGACATATTTACTCAAGAACAATTGACTGATACCACTGACAAAATGCACCTTAATTGTTTTGCTCACCATTTCCAAACCATTACATTCAGAAATTGTTTACTGGGTAAGTCATCTGTCAATCTGGGTGGACCAGTGCTACCCTGACCCTAATGTGCCCTCGTCCAATCACGGCTACATCCATTAAAACAGAAACACATTACTAAACAAATGTAAGAAATAATATTAAAAATAAATGAAAGCCTAAATTTAAATCTGGTCATTATAAAGCAGTCAGATGTCTTCACAAGACTTGGATTAACTGGCCCAATTCAGATGGATTTGTTTTACAACCTTTTTTGGCCTTTGGATCAATTTGTGTTATAGAGAAAATTATTATAGAATTCATATTTTTTGGTGAATTATCCCTTTAACTAGCAGGATTTCCTTGATCACACAGCATCACATGTAAGCTGAATAACACCAAACCACACTAATCAACATAAACCAACCTGAACAAGAATGGAAATTATAACCTGGTCTTTTCAGCAGGGTGTGGCTGCCAGGTATTGAAGAAGTTCAATTGCTAGTATTACTGTTGTCTGAACACGCACCACCTCACTTACCAGCGCATCCTCTCGCAGGTCTGTAGCTTCTCGCAGAGGTCCGCCGGCTGGGCGGAAAACGTCATCCAGCACTTTGATGCCCGTGTTGCGCAGGGTGACGTACTCTCGTCCACGCCGCACTCCTCTCATGACGGACAGACCCCGTCTCTGGGCCTTTCCTCCACCTCTGCGGTTAGTGATGGCGACGTGTACAAACAAGCTGGCATGGAGCAAAGGGTCTCCAGCGAGGCCTAGAAGGGGCACATTGCGGTAACCAGGCTGTAGACACTCAAAGGCGATGGTGTACTGGCCAATGAAGTCATCGCCTATATAATCGTCATCCAAAACTACGAAACGCAGCAGGGCTAGTTCAGGCATGTTCACCTGAAAAGAGAAAACAGTGTATTATTTTGGCTCTTCAGGTGTGCAACATTTTTTCGAACTAAAATTTCTACAGTTGCAGCCGTAACAGGAAATACATATCTAGGATATGTAAACAGACACTTAACACATGTCCAGTCCCTTTAAAATATGAAGCATGCAAAATTTAGTGCAGACCACTGAGCCAAATGTGTAACTTCAACACCGCAGAAAGATAATTTGCATGAAGCGCATTTCCTCAGTCTCATCTATTTAAATATGGAAATATTTAGCATGCACACACAACATCACCTGGGCATCTGGCTATGTAGGACAAACACACATACATAAGCAAGGACACAGTTAAACAAAACAATACATTTTGCATAGCATGAATAACTGAGGGACTGTTACAGGTCGAAACAAAGTACAAAAATGATTGTGTAACTATTGGTTTGTATAAGCCTACTCGCATGTAAATGACTTGTAAATTGAGAATAACAGGAAGTCCTTTGAGTCAGAAAAATAAATAGAATATATGTCTTGGGACAACGTGTGTCATGTATACCCTACATTATGGGGACAAAGCTGGCAATATCCAAAATCCTTGTGATGACATTTGTAAGTGAACACAACACACAAAACAAATGAGACACAAAAGAGTTATGCCACACTGAATATGCATATTCACTAAGGAAAGAAAAAAGAGAGAGAAATCTGGCAGGAAAACACAGACAACAAAGATAAAATGCCTCAGCTGGCAGAAGACACCCACACAGATTCCTGGACAACTCTAAACAAGAGAAAATAGTTAAAGACAGGTGTGCAACATCTCAAAGAACCTAAATTGATAGAAATTATTTTGTAGTGAAGTAATTCTACATAAAAAAGAAAAAGTTCGTTCAATTAATTTTCACAGTTTTCCAGCTGTATTTACACTGTTTTATCATTGGTTTTGATGATTGGATTAGTATCTTGCCATTTTGTGACATTTGGAGTTCATTTTCTACTCAAAATGACATTCAAACACAAAAACGGCCTAAATGTTACCGACCGTCATTGTGTATTGTCTACCATGTATTAAGATCTCTGCGTTCACAAACAGAGTAGTTTCTAAAATGCAGATATGGTGTCTCACACGTCTGTATTATTCTCTTTCTAAGTGTTTCAAAGTAAAGCAAAAGTGTGGTTTAATTCAATGTTATATTGTTTGAGTGAAATGTATTGCAAAGGAAACTTTAACTAAATAGATATTACTCTACCTTTTACTAGCCTTGTTAAAATGACTTATTTTCTTTGAAGTAGACTTATTTAAATAATGGTGCGTTCTATTATTCATCCGTCTCGGAGATCCGTATCGGATGACAGACGTTGCCTAGCAACACGCCCCCTTTCCTCGGATTTCTCCTCTTGGACGTCGGACAACCGTGAGGACACCGAGCAAGAATTCCGTTTCGGAATTCAAGATGGCTGCACCCTATGTGACTTGTAAGAATGAATTGTTTTCATTGTTTTTGAACCGCTTTGGTATTTTAAATGACAATTATAATCATTCGTATTACTGCGTCCCCTGTAGGTATGGGAATCGGTTGTTGTGAGTGCAATTACTAACGTTCATTGCTAACAGAAGATTAACATGAAAAACATTAAATAAATAGACATTGTCAAGTTCAAATGGCTGCGTTTTGATAAGATGTAGTTATAATATATATATTTTTTTTTAATGTTAGCCTGTTACTCAGCCAGTGCTACCATTATAACAGCTTTCCGGGTGGCGTCCATTTTTTTCTCCAACTCGGACACGCAAAACATAATAGAACGCTTGAAGTGTGGACGTGACGTCAAATCCGAGGTCCGAGTTGGTTCGTTGGGTATAATAGAACGCACCATAAGTCTACTTCAAAGTACTTACTTATTTCACTTAAGTAGACTTAACTTAAGTGAAATAAGTAAGTACTTATTTAAGTTAACTGAATTGAATTAAGTAGACTTAACTTAATTCAATATGTGAAATTTACTTAAAATAATATGCATACAAAAACTTGTTAAAGAAAAGTAAATTGTACTTTGTTTTTTTCAGTGTACTTCACGTTTCAGAAATCGCATACATCTGTATTCATGGACATACAAATTTCATGAACTCCACAGACAAAACTTTACCATTCAGACATGTTCCATGGTAATAACATGTTCAAACAATGGTAACATGTTACACATATATACATAACGAGAGACATTATCAGCCAGCTTTTTATATTAATTAAATAAGTATATCCAACTTTATCCGCATGCATCCAGTATACTCAAAAAAAGTGATGTACTGTATAGCAAATCTTAATTGCTTGAATTTGGATGGTCAAAAAATGTGAACTATATTATCACCAAGCTATAATCTATTAAATGCGACTATGGCATGATAATAAAATATTATAAACCTTATGAAAATCATGAAAGCTGTGAGACGACTCGTTTTGAGAAATACTCTATACAAATAAATTTGACTTTACTTGACAGTGAGACTGGCACCCTAAGAGGCTCAGAGCTTATGCGTTTAGTGGAAAAGACCGTGCGTGCGTGTGTGTTTGTTTGTGTGTGTGTGTGTGTGTGTGTGTGTGTGTGTGTGTGTGTGTGTGTGTGTGTTTGTTAGTCGGATTCTGATAGGTGTACACCCTCCCATGACTTATAATAGTATGACGTCCTCGAGCTCCAAGCAACAAGAGACAAACGTATGCAAACAAGAGGCACAATCCCTTAGGACAGAATAAGTGTGTGCGTGAGAGATATATTTTGATTTCACTGGATCCCTCACAAAACCTCCTCTTCAAATAACCATATGGCACAGTGTTTGGTTTAAATCACAATAGCAGGGATTTAAATTTATAAGCACCAAGGGCAAGTTTCACCCACACATTTTTATATCACTGTCTACTTACAGAACAGTATTTCAATTGTGTAAAAAACAATTCAAAAGGTTTTTAGAGAACATGGAAGAAAAAGTATAGTAATTGTAGTAAAGTATTGTATATAGTAAGAATATTGTTGTTATATATTGTTGTAATATCCTGTCAAAGTCTCTACTGTCCAATCTAATAAAGACAAAAAGCTAATGAATAATAATAGAGGGTATGCGCGTAACGTCAACGTTGGCCAGACTGCCTGCAGTTACTCACAGTGAGTGGCAAAAAGACTGATCGGCTGTATTTGTTTTCAGCGTGAATGCCGCGAAAAACAAAAACAACACATATAAAGTGGGGAAGAGCTTTGTGATTGACTGTACAACTAGATTTGACAAAAAATCTGAGGTATATTTTTACAGACTGCGATAGAAAGAGGAGCAAATGGATCGCTGCAATTCACAGAAACATCTGGACTCCAGTTAGCGGAAGGTGGATTTGCGGTTATCATTTTGTGTCAATATGCTGAATTTAGGTGTAAAACCATACCCATATATGTTGTATTGTATATATATATATATATATATATATATATATATATATATATATATGAAGAGTTCAGATGCAAAAGCCTCTTAGTGCCATTTGAAATTTTCTTCTAAAATGATCATTTTTATCAAGCTTGTATATTTAAGTTCAGTAATTTCACTTGAATGGCAATGAAGATTACCTATTAATAGTCATTTACGTGAAATTACTGAACTTAAATATACAAGCTTAATAAAAATGGTCATTTTAGAAGAAAATTTCAAATGGCATTTAGAGGCTTTTGCATCTGAACTCTTCATATATATATATATATATATATTAACAACTCATCAATTCAATATTTATCATTGCATATTCTGCATTATTGGATGTTTTTTAATAAATACTGACCCCCCCAAAAAAATGATGACGTTTTAGGGCTGGACGATATGATGATATGTATAGGCTATAACACTGGTATAAGTGATCACCCGGATTTAGACCTACCTATATTGTATTTATATAAAGCATTCACAGGCAAATTTACTTTATGTTTAGGTCTATTTTGCTTTTATTTCCCCGGTGTCGAAATCAGGCAAACATAAATGTCAGGCAACATGATTCCTGGCTGCATGTCAATATCCATGGATCACTGGATCTTTAGTAAGTTGTAAGGAACACTATATTGAGTCCATTTTATGTGCATTTTCGCAGTTTCCCCTATTAAATCCAGTCACGCAGCAGATCTTTTGCCACTCAATGCCACTCAAAGTCACGTCAATGCATTCCATCTATATCAACAAACTCTTTATATATTAAATGTATTAAAGGATATCTTAATTTTAAAGCATCAAATGTCATTAGCTTCAGCATGAAACGCAAGGTATATGGAGATTTGTTCAATCAATATCAGAACATGTTTCCATTTAACTAGTCTTACAATGGAGACCAGTTCTGGGCTGCATTTACTTAAAAGTATCGTATGCATAAGTATGTCCGTAGAACCATTTCATTTCCACCAATGGTCTCTCTTCTATCAACTTACCTCATGATGCTTTTAGGAAACACAACCCTGGTTTGTGTGTGTGTGTGTGTGTGCATAGTTTCAAGGATTTTTAATGTGACCAAAAAGGGACAAGAAACTTTTGAATAACTAGCAAAACTAATGGTTTCTGGTTCAATGAAAAAAAAATCAATGAAAAACACATGATGATAGCATGTTTATAGTGCTTGAATGTGTCTGTACTTGTTGATATAAACTAGTACTCATGTCAAAAATGTCAAAGTTACGGATTTGGCTCAAGCAGTCTTGCTTTACACCCAGAGTTCTAAGCCTGAATGTTTGGGTCCACTTTTTTTGCGCTGGATTTTATGGGAAAAATAAACACCTGTACCAAGAAGCTACCTTGATCTGCATCTTGTAATTAAAGCTGTCTAAATTTGGCATGCAAGTGTAATTAGGCCCTGCTAAAAGAAAGGTCACATCATTGAAAAATAATTATACTGGAAGAAACTGGCACCCACTTATACAGCAATGCAATGAGTTATCTAGACCATAGGTTTGAACTACAGACCAGGGCAGGAGCTTTTGTGTCAGCAGGCTATTAAGTTTTGATGGATATCTTCCCTAATTACCGATCTAGGAAGAGCTGTGTTAAGTTGCACACACTTGCGTCATCCCTGTGCAACCATGAGGACAGATTGCATCCATTAACCTTGTTCTTGTTGTGGATGACAGGTCAGTATTCAATACATTCATGTTATTCATGTATGTGACATTTCTGTTATAGTTGTTAGCTCAGGCTAATGCATGCTAAGAAATGAATGCAAGTGCAGCAACCAGTGAGAGCTAACATCTAGTAAACTCACCACATACTATCAGGATATGTTTGTCTTGATATTATTTAAAAAACAAAAAAAAACAAAAGCAGTGACAATAACATTTTTGTTACCGTCACAAAAGTCAAATAAACAGTAAAATATACCATGCATTGGAATCACCTTGTAAAATGCATCATTACAACCTCCTGAAGGAGGTCACTGAGTACATGTTATTTTATATAGGATGTGGCATAGCTGAGCTCAGTTGGAACTGTGTAAATTTTGCATGCAGTAGGTATTTAGTGAGACATGGCTCAGTTGCTGCATCACTGACTGAATAATTCTGATTTCTGCCCTCAAGACTGATCCACACACAGAGAAGCTCACCTTTGCAAGCCAGTGACCACACCACAGAAAACGAGGTAAAAACCCAATGGGCATGGTATCATATAATACATCCCATGTCTCAACAATCAATCTCTTTCTTATGCAAACTTTTCACTAACCCAGACAAACATCAAACAATAGACCCCAAAGTCCTTCATCTCGATCATATTCGTATGTGAAATTTTTGTTTTCAAAAACACGATTTCTGTAAAATGGGCAGTTATAAATTATTATATGTGCTTCTTCACAACCAATCTGAAAGTTAAATGTAACTGCCACTAGGGGGCCAAATACAAAAACCTTATGTGACTCTCAGAGATAGTGAAAAGGCGGCTTTAGTTTAATAAAGTCTTTGGGGAAAGACACAAGAAATAAATCTGATTAACGTTCATGATATGGTAGTCTTTCTCTCTCACCTGGAACTCGAATGTTTCGTCAAACAGTGGGTCATCCTGGTTCTGGGCAGCAGTGCGAGTTCTCTGCTCTGTGCAGTCTGAAGGCACACCATGCAGTTCCAGCACCACATATGGGTCGATGACCTCTCCTTTGGCACCAGAGCCTTGTGGTTTGGGTAGACTATGGGCACTAATGACCTTCACCCTAAGTGTTTGCGGTGGTACACCAGGCACGCAGCCTTGCGACTGGGCACTGAAGTAGGAAACCTCCTCTCGCATGACTGCTGGACGAAGCACATACCCGCACCCACCGTTCTGCATAAAACGGCCTCGGTTCAGGTCTAGCATGGCACCTGGCGTCTGTTGGTTGAGCGCAACCAGTTGCACTCCTCCTTTCCAGTAGCCTTGTGGATTTGGGTTACTAGAGTCTAGCCTTACTGAACTTGGCCGCACACGGGTTAGATTGCGCTTGGTAAAGCTCACAAGCTCCTCTGGGCTCTCGCTAGCAAGCCGTCCAGCCTCCCCTTCCCCGAGAGAGCACAGGGTCCAGTAGGGTGGGTCAAGTGTCATAGGTGTACCTGGTGTAGAAGGAGTAGAAGGGGGAGAATGCTGCTGGGACTGCTGAATACTCGCACGGTGAGCATAAAAGTTGCGACTTCCAGAACGAGCAACGGCAACGAGATTGGACAATTCACGCCTCAAACGGAGGCGCCTTGGCTGTGGGGGAGGGGGGACAACAAGGACCACCCCTAGTTCCTCTTCCCCAGGGATAGTCATTCTTCGGCCAGCCAGAGGACCGCCGCCACCAATCTCCTCATCGTCCTCAGATACCTCTCCTTCAGAACCTTCCTCTTCTGGGGGCAGCTTCTTTCCAACAAGAAGCACCTTACCCTTTAACTGCTCTGGAGAGGGCAAAGTGGTTGAGCGACCTCCCAGACTGACAGGCAGAGATTCAGGGGTATAGAGCTTGGATCCAAAAACCTTTTTTAGGTGTTGTGCAAGAGTACATTGCTGGGAAGGTGAGCAACGCTGGCATAGATGCAGCAGCAGAGGATACTGGGAGGTGAGAAAAGCATATTTGTTGATTACTTCTAGGGCACTGCGCAGAGTAACAGAACCATGATGGTGGTGATGGTGATGATGTTTTCCATCTGTACCATAGTCTACACCCAGTAGTGGCTCCCCTTCTGGCCCATCTGTCACCCCCAGCTCCAGACACCGACATCCAGCCTGCAGGGCTCGAGTGAGCCCCCCGAGATCAGCCCGGCCATGCACTTGGTCATCTAGCAGGTAGGAGCGGTAGGAGGCACTGATGAAATAATGAGACAGGGGCATCTTCATATCGTGGCACACATTCTGATGCTCAGGGTCTAACAACTGGCACTCAGTTGACTGTAGGTAGCGGGTGAATCCATCCAATCCCAGTAAACCTCGCTCACGTCCAGCTGCAGAGGGCTCAAAGTGGCGAATAAGCTCTAAGCAGCCCTCATTGGTGGCCAATGACAGACCTTGCTCCGTCTCCAGGAAAAGACGCAGGTCCTGAGCGTCAAGGCACTCTCTGTCTTTAGAGAGTTGGACTAGCAGGAAATAGACATCAGGTCGTGTACACAACTCGCAGTAGGCCTCCTGGAACTCTTCCAGCGTAACATGAGACGTTAGCTTCTCTTTGCTCCTCTGAATTTCCTTAAAGCGCAAACGCACCTGATGAAAAGAAAATAAAGAAAGAGAGGTATTAATGTATTTAAGTTTAAGATCATTTATGGATAACAATTTAAGCTAGTAACCCAAATCCTGTTGTTTTAAAGTGTGATTAGGAAAGGAACAATTTACAAACTATGAACATTATACAACTGCTCAAGGGGGGATGCTTTGCTTTGAATTTGAAAGAATATACTGAATGATAAATAAAATAACACAAGGACTGCTGTCAAGTGAGAGATGATCACTGACAATCAAGGCCTTGAGAGTTCTGAGTTAATGAGCAATCACAGACCAAAACTATTACACAGACAAGAAGCAGCTCGCAGCATATAGTGATTTGAATCTTGAGAGACAAAATGTCACAAGTCAAATATATATTGTATACATTATTTTTTAAGATTAGGACATGGCCAGAAGCAAAGCGAGTCATTCCTATTCAGCCCAGTTTGCATGCCCTTTTGCCTTTACTTGTCTCTCTAGACACATGAAGCAGATGCCTCACACCCGCTGTCACAAAGACATGGCCCTGTGGCTTCGGTCTGTCTTCCTCCTGTCCCCAGCTGTCCATTTCACATACAAACACACGTATGAATCTACTGCCATATTCAAAACTCAACAATTGCTGTGCGCCTCAGCAGGGCTAACTAGGGGTGTACTCGCACTAGGCGATCAGAACCGTGCCTGAGGGCATTTGACCCTCAAATTCTGGTTAGTTTGACTAGTGTGATCGCTCCTAACCGTCCCTGGCCTGCTTGGAAGTGGTGGGCCAGAGCAGGGTTTAGTTAGGCTCGGGTGCGGAACGCATGCAAGGGCTAACTGCACCAGACCACTGAACAGCTGTATGCCACTGTCATCATTAAGACAGCAAACATCTATTACTACTTGGAAAGTAAACTTTTCAATAAATTTAATTAAATCAAGTATATAGTTTATAACAGGTCTGGTTCTCACCTCATTGACGAACAGACATTGTCGTTTGCGAATAAATCTGCAAATTCCTCCATCAATGTCAGCTGCCTCCATAATAATCTTTTTAATATGTGCAGCACAATTGAAGTGAAAATATATTTGCAGCATAAGTAATATATCGGTAACACTTTAGAATACGGTTCCTTCGTTAATGAATAACTACACAAGAACTAATGAGTAACACAATATTAACAATCTAGTAACTATTATTAACTAACAAGAAACTCTGATTAACGAACTAGTAAGTAATAGCGCACAGACGAAAGTGGTAGTTCACTATTAACTAATCAATAACTACTATTTTTTTAATACTTCCCAGAGAACTACTGAAAAAGTTTATTAATAATCTAGTAACTACTATTAACTAAAAGAAACTCTTATTAACGAATTAGTAAGTAATAGCTCACAGATGAAAGTGTTACTAGATACTTCTGTGGGAATTACTAATTATTTGGATCCGTATTATAAAGTGAAAATCATTGGAACTAACTAGTACTCAAGTGTTACTAAGACATTTTCTAAAAGTTACTAAAGTTCACCAAAAAATCTCAAACATTTGCACAAATCATGACTAGATCATGTAGTAACACTGAGTAATTACTAGTTAGTTCCAATGATCTTCACTTTATAATACGGATCCAAAATTAGTAATTCCCACAGAAGTATCTAGTAACACTTTCATCTATGAGCTATTACTTACTAATTATTTGGATCCGTATTATAAAGTGAAGATCATTGGAACTAACTAGTAATTAATCAAGTGTTACTAAAGACATTTTCTAAAAGTTACTAAAGTTCACCAAAAAATCCTCAAACATTGCACAAATCATGACTAGATTCATGTAGTAACACTTGAGTAATTACTAGTTAGTTCCAATGATCTTCACTTTATAATACGAATCCAAATAATTAGTAACTCCCACAGAAGTATCTAGTAACACTTTCATCTGTGAGCTCTTACTTACTAATTCGTTAATAGAGTTTCTTCTTTAGTTAATAGTAGTTACTAGATTGTTAATAAACGTTTTCAGTAGTTCTCTGGGAAGTATTAAAAAAATAGTAGTTATTGATTACTTAATAGTGAACTACCACTTTCGTCTGTGCGCTATTACTTACTAGTTCGTTAATCAGAGTTTCTTGTTAGTTAATAATAGTTACTAGATTGTTAATATTCTGTTACTCATTAGTTCTTGTGTAGTTATTCATTAACGAAGGAACCGTATTCTAAAGTGTTACCAATATATCTATTACGAGGTCTGCAGTGCCAGGGCAGGGTACAAGTCAATGTGCCTAGTGGGAGTACACCATAAGAAGTCAAGTTAATTAGTAATACAGAGAGACGAGCTCTGGAAGAGCCATCTAAATTCTACATTCTAGGCACTCGCAGCACTCGTTTTACTATCTCTCACTGCTATAGGACAGTCCTATGATTCTTATTTGATGGGTCCTACATAAAAACTGCAGCAGTGTTTGTATTTCTGATTGCTTTCAATTTGGGGAATCGCATATTCAGTATTGTTTGGATTTTTCTGAAACCCTTTAATCATGAAATGCAAGATTTTGCGGTTGATAAACTGAACAATAAGGAAATGTGTTACCTTTGCCTCCTTAATTCCAGGACAGAGTTTACAGATGGTGGCTACTGCCGTATCTTCAGACACGATTTCGTGTCCATCCTCATCAACCAGAGCAAACTCTGCCGCCAACCAGTTCCGCCTCATCTTGCTTCCAATGCTGGACTCTCCAACCCCTCCATCACCTCCACTCCCTCCTCCAATGGCACCAGGGTGAGACAGCAGGTACCGCAACCCTGTCACCCAGATGTTGGCCACATCGGCAGAGAGAGCAACCAGGTCCAGAGACTGATACTCATCACCATGAATGATGGAGAAGGCTGCTTCTTCAGCCAGGTGATCTGATGGGCCATTATGAAGAAAGGTCTCTGTGCTTTTCCCAGTGCGCACCTCCCGAATGGCGGAGATGTCAAGTCGGGCTCGGTCACCATCTTTCTTGGAGGGTTCCCAACGAAGGCAGGCCAGGTCAGGGTCTAAAGTGTAGAATCGCGAGTAGATGCGCGAGTTGGGACGGACCTTCTTTAGCTCGCAGCCACCCTGCATGAAGGCAAGGCAATCTGCAGCACTGCTCACCTTCTTTTCTGATGGAATACTGCTAAAGGAAACCGTTTTCTTCCTCCCACCACTGACCTTAGCCACTGAAGGGTCCTTGGGGGAAAAGAAAGAAAAACATTAAGCACCATGTGACCCACAAATGAAGAAAACTTCTATGTCATTCAACAAAGAGTTGTTTTAGTAAAGCATCTTAGCAACAAAGCAAGATGGAAATCATCTTATTCATCACAGAAAGCTTTGTGTTCAATCATGTATCTAGGTTTAAGTCCAAACAAATGTGGCATGTTTCAGCATGAAATTGCTTTTTCACAAAACCAACGAGGCAAAATTTGGACGTTAATGGAACTTCATGCCATCTAAGGGAAATGAACAGTGCTATGAACTATGGCCTATTTAGAATAAACCAACCACATTCTACATTACATCACTGACTAGCAGCACTGGACTGTGTACTGCCATTGTCAGATGCTAAAATAACCCTGTTTTCCCCCCTCTGTTATCCTAAATTTTGTATTTATTTTAAATCATTGCTAGCTTTGTATGTGACTTAACTATATTTCAGTATCCATATTACTTTTATGTAGGAAGCTGAAAACTCTGTCTTCAAAATGAAAAAAAAATGCTGTGCAAATATTCAAGTTTTAATGAATTCCCAAATACAATGATGCGGTTACATTGATTAGCAATTATGACTATTAACATTTGAAAAACAGTTATTTGTTGCCAATAATTTCAAATGAAACTCATTTTAAACACCATATGATAAATTATGGTGGAAATATCACCTTGCCTGACCTACTGAAAGGAAAGGAGATAAAAGGTGTATGCTTCCTGGGGCTGTTGCTGTTTAAAAAAAAAAAAAAAAAAAAAAAATTGCTTGCAGTACTGGCCTACTTATTTCCTAATACCTAAAATCGAATCTACAGCAAAGGCTCCTGATGGAAACACATTATGTCATTACAGTAGTGATAATGTGTAATCTAGGATTTCCAACCAAAGCTATTTGGCACTAATCAGACTGGCTCTTAGATGCAAGGAGTATTCATGTAGAAGTCAATGAACTTCAGACATACCAGATTTCAAAGATGGGCTTAATACAATTAAGACATGAATGGTCCCATTGGAATGTCTTCAGTTACTCTGTGTGTCATAACTATTCAAGTCAACCAGACATATAATTGATCTAAAAATATGCAAAAAAAAATTCAACCAAAGACTCAACCATATCTCTCTACTAAGGACCAGAATTTCATGTAAACTTGAGAAGTGAGCTCTTGTGACTTGGGCCAGTAAGCACCTAACTAGCAACCAGCTCCAGCACCTTAGCAACAAACTAGAAATGACTAGCAACACATGGCATGCCACAACACATGGCACATAGCAGGTTTATTGCACATGGAAGATTGACTGTTGTAAAAACAATCTAATTTATTGTAAAATGTAGTTAATAAAAATACACTATTAATTTAAAGGAATTTTCTTTATTGACCTTTCAAAGGTGTTTTTCCTGTATTTTGAATTATGCATTTCATTTTGTTAGGTTTTAGGGTTAAAGAAAATGTCTGTAACGGAAAACGTACAAGTAATTTTCTTCCAGGACAAAATTTTTCAACATTTTTTTTTTCTTATGTAACGGAGGCCAGCTAGTAGTTGCTGTGCGAGTAAACCTCACTCCCCGATCTCAATAGGCGCTCTAGCGACAGACGCTAGAGGCTGCAGTCTTTAGCCTCCTTGTTAGAGCGCCTGACTCTCACGCCGGAGGCCCGCTCGGAGCGGGGCGAGTAGGACCCGGGTGTGAGGGGTTACACTTACACTGTAGTTTCACATTCACATGCTTCAATTTCTGCTTCTTTATTATTACAATTCATATACTTGTCAAAGATAAAACTAGCACCCACAGAGCTTTAACAAACACCACAATTCTGGAGTTCTTCCGCTGAGAAAAACCTCCTTGACATTCAGACCGGAGAAGCATAGAATCAGATAAGGTCAGAGAGTACAGTGTGCAGCCACTGAGCACTCTGACATGCTCATTTGTCTTAGTTTGTCTGTTTATCATTCAGCTGGCAGACTCCATTCCTCAAAGCTGCCGTGCTTCTGGATCAGAACCTGCCTCACGAGCCGACAGCCTGCCGCTGTGAATCCAGGTCAGCAGGTGTTTGAGCAGACTGGGTGATAGCGGGACTGAAGCAATCGGGGTGAGCCAAGCAGTACAAGTCGCGCAGGTTAGCAGCCGTGACAACGCAAGTAAAATGCAACTTTAGTGGTTAGACTACCAAGGGCACCATGAGAAAGAGGGCAAAAATAATCAGGTCACTCATCTGTCCATCCATCCATGCCACCGACCCATCAGGGTTCTCCAGGAAAGTCTGCAAAGCTTTTAATGTATCGTTCTGGCCTAAAAGGACATGAATCAGACTTAATCCCCCTAAGCGCACTTCACATTGCATTGTTTTTTTTTTAAACATAAATGTGTTTTGTTTTTTTGTCTTTTACAACCTAAGAATGGAGAGTCTGCTGGTGAGGATGACAGTATGAAAATGATTGTAAGTGAGTTTGGAAGTGTTAGAAGAAAAGCCGAGGAATATGAAAAAAAGGGTGAGGCACATTGCAAGGGTACCAAAAAAAGAGAGAGAGGTGGAGGGAGGAGTGCAACAAAACACAAAAACACTGCTGGAAAAAGGTAGTAGGTAAAATACCATGTTTCCTCAATATGAAAATGACCCGGACATTATAAGCAATTTCCCACCATTAGTCTGAGAGGAATAAGAGTATCAGATACAGCAAGGGGAGCTAGGAGATGAAGTGTGGTTAAATTTAGATGTGCTCCCATCTCCACTTAATCAAGAAAAAGAGGAGGAGAGAAGAAAAGGAGCACAGGCACTAGAAAAGAAGGAGATAATAACTGGAGGTTGGGTGGACAGAGAGACTGAGGACAGAGGAGAAAATGAAGAGTGGCAAGGGAAAAAATAATAGCACTAAAATGCGAACCCTTGGTCTAATCCTACAAGAGCAGACTGATTTTAATAACATCCCTGCCCTTTAAGGGACATTTTCAAGCTCATCGGTGATTTGGCAGCTAAAACCCACAATGACATCAGCATTCACTACTTCGGAGTCCTCACTGAACCTTTCCAATGCTTTCTGAAGCTTAACTCTTTCACACAGCACAGTGTTTACTACTGTCATCTGCTTGAAGCCAATTCAAACACTCAAGACTGAAAGGAATACAACATAGTCAATACATTTTACAATACATGGGTGTGCAAGAATATTTCAAATCAGCATTTCTAAATGATTTCTGAAGGATCATGTGACACTGTATACTGGAGTAATGGCTGCTGAAAATTTTTGCCATCATGGGAATAAATTGTATTTTTGATCAAATAAATGCAGCCATATAGTGCAGGGCCATAACCACCATAGGCACATTATGCATCACTCTGTATGTTGTTAGGATGATCTATCAGCTCATTAACCCACTCACAACACAGTCCAATAACCCCACCCCAAAATACCACCCCGTACCACTGACTTCCTCAACTGGGACTACACCTGTGGCTGTAATCCACTCCAGCCAAGCCACAGAACAGAACTCCAATCCAGCCAATGATCCCAGCTCTGAGAAAGCAGTAGATTAGTGCAGCCGCAGCGCTCCCACCCCATGAGACTTGAGGGGTAATCCGTGCCGGATGGAGAGCCAGTGATTTAGTAGGGTTAGAGGGTAACGCTCATGGATTAACTGACAATGGGTTTAGCAAGCCGTCAATCCTACTGTCCAACTAATTGAAAATGCTGATGTATGGATCAAAATAGAAATATGTCATGCAGAATATGAGGCAGAGCTGATCTCTTGACATTGAGCTTGTCTATAAACAGCTTGAGGGATGAAATGTGTTGTTAAAGCAAATATGAGTACAGCAAAAGAGAGATTATCAAACACCTGTTCTTCCCAGGAGCAAAATATAGAGGATGGTAGCGAAGGTTGTGCATAAAGACTACATTAAATTCATCTAGGTACCCTAGGTACCCTTCACTTTTTCTTAGTAATACTGATGAGTAATTTAATAAAAAAGTAGAGCAGAGTGCGAAAAAAAAAATCTTCCAGCAGAAAGTGAATAACTCTTCCTTAATCACAACTGGCAGCTATGGAGAATTCAGTGCTTCAACTCATCACTTGGAAATTGCTTTATAATTAAATGTAAGCTGTAAAACTTAAACACTTTGATATGATTACACTCACTGAAACCTCTGTTAAACCTGTCTGTCCTGGAATTGAGAAATAGTTGTATTACTTACTTCACACAGACGCATCATTGCCCTATAATCTAATCTATGTCGACTCATAAACATAACATTTTCTGGGTGTAAAAGTACTGGAAACCATTTGTAGAGGATGTAAATGTTAAACCATATGAGACAGCCATTCAATAAATTGATTTATGAATGGTGTTATTCGGCGTTCAAAACTTTAATGATTTCTATTAGCCTTGCAACAACTATTAATAATCTAGTAGTTTCCAGGATTTATTATCCAAACTACTTTACTTCTAAGCAGATGAGTTTTCTGCGAGCCAACTAGAAGCTCTGGAATAGAGAAAAGCAGTTCACGTCGATAAGCATGATTGCAAACTAGCGTGGCTCGTCTCACACGATCAAGTAATTGCAGACCATTCCCACAATCAGGCTCCTCTTATCACAGCCTACACATTCATCAGCCTACACCGCTTCACAAGTTCCATTCTGAAAACAATCAGTCCTCAGGCAGTTATTTTCAAAGCTACCCCGAACAAGCAGAGAAAAGCTCAGATATGCCACTTACTCACACGTCTGCCAAGAGTGATTTTCAGGCACTATTTGTTTTCTAAAAAGCTCCTCAGCAGTCATACTTTCTTAGACCGAAGAGAGAAAGACTTAACTAGTTAGCTAAACCAGAGGATCTCAACCGGAAAGCTGTAAAACTGGGTCACAGGCCTGTGCTAAAATGTACATAAAAAAAATGCAACTAAACATTAAATAGGCAAAGAAAATCAAGATTGTGCGTCCCAACAAACTACAGGATTTTGGTGCATTCATCTGTCACTTACTAATCA